TTTCGATTTCGGCTTCATTAACAATCCGTAATTAATTATGCACATTTATTTAATTTGTACAAATACCATATTATTATTAATTTAGACTTCAATTTTATGATAGTGAATAGGGTGAGGGATCCTTATTCGATTTGACGTCCGAAAAGTTAAGTTGTTTACTGTGCCTATGGGTAGTCTCTGAGTTCTCTAAGTTTTTTTTCAAGAATCGAAACGCGCTAATAATATCTACAAATGTTCCAAACAAACCCAAAATCAGTCCTAGGCCCCACTCGGCCAATTTCAGAATTCCGACATGGCGGCTCCGTCACCTACTGTGGCGATCGGCGAGCCGTTTTCAGCCAAATTCGGCCGATTTTGCATCGATCCCTGCAAGAAAACATGTTAAAAGGCATCGGTTTGCCGAAAAAATACGAAAAACTGAAACTCACCGGCGGCGGAGCTCTCTAGTGCGGCAACTCCTCCGGCTCACGTTGCGGTTGGGTGTTTTGCTCTAGTTAACATGTAGAGAAGGACACGGTGATCACAATTGTAGAGAAATTACACAAAATGAGAATCGGAAAGGGCCTCATCGGAAGCGTTTTGTGAAATTTCTCGCGGCAGCAGCACCGGGTTTCGCCGGCATTTTTCAGCCAATTAGCCGGTCTTTTTGCTCCGATTTAGCAATGGATGAGCTTAAAGAAATTTTGTACAAAAGGAGAAGTTTTTATCTTTTTTGGCGATCAGAAAGGGTTCCAGTGCGGCAGCGGGTGGTGACGATCTGCTCCCCGGTGGCTACATCGTCTTCTCCGGCGATGGGGTCTGGCGGCTAGGGTTAGGATTTAATGTGGATAGGGGTTATTTATATATGTCCACTTTTGATCTGGATCGTCCATCACGTTTGATCTGGACCGTTCGATCGTGATTAAATAGGAGGTGAATTTGGATCATCCATCGCGATTCACTCTGGACCGTCCGATCGCATTTGAATATGATCGTTCGATCACGTTTGGGAGGGAGCGCATCCAGGCCGTCCGTGCACGCGGGAATGGACCTGGGCCGTTCGATCGCGAGCACGCGGATTGTCCGCGTGGCTTCCCATGTGGCAGCACATCAATGCCCGTTGCCACATGGGACGTCCTGGTTCGTCGGGGCTGCTGACCAGGCGTCTCACGTGGCAGAACTTTTCTAAATTGTACTTTAACATCTGATTTCTAATTTTTCTTTCAAAAATATCCCAAGAACTTAAATTTTTACCCATTTTCTCCAAAATTATTTCTAATTTCATTCTCACTCAATTTTTACTTTATTTTTACCCTAAATAAAATAAAATAAATTAATAAAAAATTACATTTATTAATTATTAAATTAAAACAAATTTTTTGTGGGTATTACAATATTCATATAGTTAGTAGAAAGTAGCTCTTGTTGAAATGAGAAATTGTGAAATTTTAATATATAATTGATGAATATACAATAAAGTAACTTTAGAAAATTGAATGATTTGATTTGAACTTTTTCTATGTGGTATGACTGATTGGTTACGAAATGATATATGTTATGCTACGTATGCTAACAGGGTCGTCGTATTGCTGCTGTGGCTAAATTCGGGGCGTTACACGATTGGTTCTTCTTCTCCAGTAGGAGGCTGACGACTATGGTTTGAGTTCAGTGTGATGTGAGATATTTATACCCGTATCACTTAAATCTGGATCGTTCATCGCGTTTGATCTCGACCATTCGATTGTGTTTAAAAAAAATAAATTTGAGCCGTTCATCGTATTTAATCACAACTGTCCGATCGTGCATGAGGAGAGAATTGATCCGGACCGTCCACACGCACGAGAACGTATCCAGGTCGTCCTATCGTAGACACACGGATTGTCAGCGTGGCCTTCCTCGCGGCACCGAGTCAGCATGCTTTGCCACGCTGCGCGCTCCAGTTCGTCGGGACCGCTGACTGGACGGTTTACGTGACACAATTTTTTTAATTATATTTTGACCTCTAGTTTCTTATTTTTCTTTTAAAAATATTATCCGAACTTAAATTTTCACCAATTTCTTTTAGAATTATCTTTAATGTTATTCTCAATCTATTTTTTTCTATAATTTTACATTAAATAAAAATTTATTAATTTTAAAATTATATTTTTATATATTTTTTTTAAAATTTAAAATTTAATTCCGTATCAAATTTCAAATCCGATTATTCCATAATTGTTAAATAGAGATAATCTAATTCTAATTCACATAAAATTTTTAAAAAATATAGATACTTTTAATAATGAATTTTACATGAGGTTTAATTTGTTGAAAAATTCATTGGCCCGTAGGGCAGGTACGCATGTGGGTAAACAGGACCGTCAGATTTGACTTTGAATTTTTATATTAATTATAATGTTTATAAAGGGTACAAATACAATGCTTTAGTTCGTTGATATGACTCATGACTCGCGCAATTAATTATATCGGATACTATCAAACTATATATAAATCCATCAGACATCAGAGGGAGAAGAACATGAGACCGTTAACCTTCAAAATAAATATCATATGATTTTTTTAGTATAAAGTACTTGATAATCAATTTGGCCTAAAAACAATGAAAAAAATAATTGTAAATATTAAATTTATGTAAATTTTAAAATATATTTATATGATCCAAAGATTATTGGGTGCAATATTATGTTAAGTTTTAATTAATTATGTATATTTATATGTAAAAAATATTGTGTATAAAAAATTATTAAGTTCATTTAAAAATAACATGATGTGGGTCAAGTCCATTTTAAACTTTAATACGTTAAATAAAATATAAATTTTTATGTATAAAAATTAAAATATTATAATAAATTAAATTATAAATAATAAAAATTAAAGTTATAAATATACAATTATAATTTTTAAATTATATGTAATATATCTTTTTATTTTGAATTTTAATAATTTAAAAAAATTAATCTTTAACGTGAGTCACGTCCATATGTATATATATATATATATATATATATAAAGAGAAAAGAAAAAGAACAAATCAGAGCTTTGCTGGGCTCTTGAGTCACATCAAGAACTGCACGCTTGGTACGTTTTGAAAATGGATTGGTGGAGTTGGTATTTCACACTATGCTAAGCCCATAAATTATGTTCGGAATACATTTAGATGTTTTAAAATTAAAAAAATATATATATATATATTCAATTTTACATAAAAATTAATATGTAATTAAATAATATTTATAAAATTTTACGTTTATTTTTTTTATTTATTTATAATTTTTGCAAAAACGTAATGGGCTTGATTAAATTATTTATTGGGTAGTTTAAATTTGGTACCAAAATAATTAGTAAAAATAGCTTCACGTATAAAATTAACTTATTCTTATCCCATTTTCAAATTTACCAAAATAAATACACATTTTAAAATTTTATATGGGATTAAATATAATTACATTGCACACTGATTATTTAATACGTCAATTCATTTACTTAAACTCTTCCAAAATTACAAGCACCAACAACCCACCACCCAATTGTACCCTCATTTTCACGAATGAACTCATAATCTTCCATTAATTTTACATAGTCTTTAAACAAATCATTGACTATTTAAACTTTATGAATTATTAACTTGTTGTTTCCTAAATTGAAAAGTTATATTCTCATTGTCTGTTGTTTAATTTTATTGCGTACGTAATTTTTATAATCCAATGTATATGATTTAAGTTTTTTTCATTTTATGAAATCATTAACTTTCTTATATTTATTGAGCTTTAAAAAATTTCACATAAAATAATAAGTAAAGACTATAGTGTTGCTTGAATATTTAAATTAAAAAATATCAGAAAAATACAAAATATTTATGCTTTTAGTAGATTAATTTTTTTTAAGAAATATTTTTCTTTTAAAATTTAATTTAAAAAATTAATTATACTCTATTATGAGAACCCACTCTGTCCTTTTTTAATTATTGGTCTTTTCAACGGTGATTTTTTTTTTTTAAGGGTACTAATTAATTTACTTTTATCAAATTTATAATAAATTATCAAATTAATTGTTGAAATTTGAGACTTGTTGTAATTTAATTTTAATTTACAATATTTTCTATTTGCTTGAATCACCAATTTTCTTTCAAATTTTTGACGAATTAAACAACATTTGAATATTTAAAAAAAATAATTTTTACTAATTTTTTACGTTGATAAATTAGTAAGGACAAAAAAAAAAAAAACAGAAAAAATTATTATTTATTTTTCAACATATTAATTTAACTAATTAAATTTATTTTTTAAAATCATTTTTTAAAACATCCAAATATTATTTGACCATTTTATCTTGCTATGTTAAAAATAAAAAGAAAATAAGTGTTTAAAAAATGTTAATGATCAAATTAAAAAAAAAAATATTAGACCTCAAATAATAATAAATGTCAAACGTTTAAGATTAAATTAATAATTTAATTATATATCATTAATTTTATATTTTCCCCACTAGTGAAAAGGAGGGCTTGGTTGATGGAGTATTATGACTATTTAGTTATGATATGTTTGGCTATAAGTGTCACATTGTACAACTAAAGAAAGCTTTAATCTATCATGTTCTTGTTTAATAGGTTACTCTCTCTCTCTCTCTATATATGTCCCTTTCAATATTATTGCTCATCTTCTTTTAAATTTATATTCGATGAATAGTTCTCGATTTTTTGTTTTAATAAATATAATGAATATTTTTTATTTTTAATAGTAAATATATACTAACTTCGACTTTTATGCATCAAAATTAAATTATTTTGTGAAAATATATTTTAAAAGTTGAGGAAGAAGTCAAATGTTCCTTCGAGTTTATTGTGTTAATTAATTAGTTGATAATGACGCAACAAAGCCGAGTCGTTGTAGTATAGTGGTGAGTATTCCCGCCTGTCACGCGGGCGACCCGGGTTCGATCCCCGGCAACGGCGGCTTTTTGGTAATTTTATTTTATAGTAATTACTTAAAAATTGGAGGAAAAGAAAAACAAAGCCCAGGAAGTAGCCTTCAAAATGGGCCCTAAAGGCCCATCTTCCAATTCAATGGCATTTCCAAATTAACAATTTTCTATCACACGCAACAAGATTTACCCAGAATCAAAGTGCATTTTAACATTTGCAGAAAACAAGATTTAACTTCAATCAGAGTTTTACACAACGAAACGGTAGAAATTCAAACACCAAATCATCATTTTGCCATCAATGAATTCTGAGCTTAATTCTGTTCCTGCAAATTTGCTCCAGACGCCTTGTTACCTTCCACCAAACGCCACATATACCAGGACCCAACGGACCTGTAAGGCCTCCATTTCTCGCAAATCTGCTCCATCTGCATAGGACCCGGCAGCTCTTTAAGCCCGTAAAGAAGCTTCACCCCTTTCCTCACACCCAGGTCACCCACCGGCAACACATCAGGTCTACGCAACGAGAAGATCATGAACATATGCACTGACCAAACCCCTATCCCCTTAACCGCCGTCAACGCCGTCAGAAGTTCCTCGTCGTTCATTTCTAGAATTGAAGTGTCCGACAACGTTCCTTTCACATACCTATCTGCCAGGTCATGGAGATAGCTGGCTTTTCTGTTCGAGACGCCGGCTTCCCGGAGCTGTTTTGCGGTGACGGAGAGGACGGCGTTGGGGAGGACCCCAGATTCTTCGCCGGAGAAGAGTGCGAGGAAGCGAGTGTAAATTGAGTTGGCAGCTTTGGTGGCGAGTTGCTGGTAGAGGATGCTTCTGGCTAGGGAGAGGAATGGAGGGTTGTGAGAATCGAAGGTTGGCGCGCGATGGGCGGCGATTATGGAAGCGAGAAGGGGATCTGAGTCGCGTAGATGGTTGAGAGCGAGGTCGATCTCCGATTTGGAGGATAATTGTTTCGTGATTTTGGGGCCAAGAGAGGGTTTGACGGCGGCCACGGTGGTGGCCGAAATGGGGTGTTTTGAAGAGATTTTTCGGATTTTGCGAGGTCGAAATGGGATTTTGGAGGAGGAAGAGGGATTTTCAGAAACTTCAATGGAGATGTTGGTGACTGTTCGGGAAAGTGGTTTCATGGCTGTTGGGGTTTTTCCAAAGGAGATGGCAACGGATGAGGTCGTGGATTTCTTTTTCTCCGGCGGGTAAATTGACCGTTATGAACTTAACATTACGCTTTAATAAAATGAGATGTAGGTTTAGTGTTCGAAGCTGACGTCAGCAAATACGTATCATTAGGTACTAATATATATATATAAATATATATATTTAAATTTTAATAAACGCACCCCAGATTTTCAAAGATATTTATTCCTCTCTATTCTCAAATTATGAATTTAATTTATTTTTCCTTATAAACTTAGTTGAAAATTAGAAATGCCTTTCATAATTATTATTTTTAAAATATAATATTACTGTAAGTTCAAATTTACAATCTTAAATTTATAGAAAGAGCCACTGAGTCCTCTTCTAATGAACTTGTTGAGAAGTTGAATAGTTCTCCTCATGATCCTTCCTGCAACCGCAAAAAATGGGTAAACAGAAAATCGATGACAGTCTTCCGTCTTCCTCGGATCTGACCTCTTCCATGAAGAAAACCCACAAGATATCACAGGATAATCTTTAGCAACTCAGTTTTTTTTTTTTTTTCATATCCAAAAATGGCAAAGACCCACCACGTCATCCGTATCTTCCTCAGCACAACCGAGTGGCTGAGTCCCAATCATTACCACCCACGAAACGAAGAAGAAGAAAAAACCAGCTTGTTTTTCTTCGAAAAGAATTCCATGGTCCTGCTGCAAATACAGAGCATTGCTTTTCATTGCTTCTATTTGCCAACCAAGAGTTCCTTTGTCGATCAATAAGCGGAAGGACACAGAGAAGGAATCATGAGTTTCAGGGAGGAGATTGATGATGGGAGGGACCTCAAGAAGCCGTTCCTCCACACGGGGAGCTGGTATAAAATGTCGTCAATGAGGCAATCAAGTATGTTGAGCTCATCGGCTCAGATTATCCGCGACGGCGCCATCTCTGTCGTGTTCTGTGTTCTCGTCGCCGCCTTGGGTCCTATCCAATTTGGTTTTACTGTAACTCCATTTCACTATTCACTCTGCATGTAGATATACATATGTATATGTCTATGTATGACGCATTTGACCATTTTCATTTTCTTCGCTTCATCTGTAGTGTGGGTATTCTTCTCCCACGCAAGCGCAGATCACAAGGGATCTCAACCTTACCATTTCAGAGGTATGGCTTTGGGTTTTCTTCTGGGTCTTTGGCTTTGTATTGGGAATGAGCTATGTGCTGTTTTTTTCTTTTGGTGATTAATTCAAGTCGTGGTTTATTGGGCATAGTTTTCTCTGTTCGGTTCCTTATCAAATGTGGGTGCTATGGTTGGGGCGATTGCCAGCGGCCAGATTGCTGAATATATTGGTAGAAAAGGGGTATGATCGGATTTTCCATTCATTAGTTTTTTTGTCCTTATTATCATAGAAAAAAGATCTTTTTTTTTTTGAGAAAGCATAGAAGAAAGAAATTTATAGTGACCCATGTAATCTATTCTTTGTTTGGTTTACTAGAAAATTTGATCCAAAAAAAGAAATGTTGGGCCGTTTGCAATTTGTGTTTGCCGTTTAGTTCCATAATGGCGCATATTTTATTTTTGCAGTCACTAATGATTGCTGCAATCCCTAATGTCATAGGGTGGCTTGCTATTTCGTTCGCCAAAGTGAGTTAATAACATACTCTAGATCCTTCTTTGCTAATATTCAAGGCAAAGTTCTCAAAACATGTAATTCTTGGTGCTTTTGTAGGATTCTTCATTTTTATTCATGGGACGATTGTTGGAAGGATTTGGTGTGGGTATAATCTCATACACGGTAACGAGCTCAAAATCTTTCTTTCGTTGATCTTTTGTAATTGTTGTTGATATTATTGATAGTATTATTTACGTCTAGGTGCCTGTGTATATAGCCGAAATATCACCTGAAAATTTGAGAGGAAGTCTTGGATCTGTGAACCAGGTTAGACATGCTTAAGTGCCTCCTAAACCAGAGTTACACCTTACTTATTGTAAATATATGCATATTTAATGATTCTTCGGACTAATTGAATCCTTTATTGAGTAGCTTGCAATCACTCTTGGAATAATGCTTGCTTATTTGTTGGGATTGTTTGTCAACTGGAGACTGCTTGCAGTTTTAGGTAAGATCATAAAATAACTAATGAAACAACTTATTTTCTTGGAGAAAAGAATCTATTAACTGCTTTGAAGAACTCCAATAAGATTTAAGATAATGATACCTCTGGAATCTGAGGATAGGATGGTGGATATGTATGAAGTTCCTTTAAGTATTTCCTTTCAAACAGCTGTAATAATTGGGGAATGCTTCTTGTTCTCTTCAAAGAAGTGAATTCTCAAGTAGAAAGACAGCTGTTAACCGATAGAATTTCTCCTCTTTTGGAAGTATAAGATTATTATTAACTACATCAAACTGGTTTTTGCTCGATTCTGCAGTAGCAATCAAGTAAATTAGTTGACCCATGCTTGGTTTTGATTGTGCTATTTACTTCATATCTAGGAATTTTGCCATGCTCAATATTGATACCTGGCTTGTTTTTCATACCAGAGTCTCCTCGGTGGCTGGTATTATTCATTTTCTGAATCTCATGTTGGCAAGTTTCTGTTTTATCATTTATTTACTTTTGCTTACTTTTCTCTTCTCACCAATTTTCTTCTTTTTGCTTCTTTTGTTTTTCTTTGGTTGGACTTGGTTTTTGCGTCAAGGCCAAAATGGGGATGATGGAAGATTTTGAAGCTTCTTTGCAAGTTTTACGGGGATTTGATACTGACACTACCACTGAAGTGAATGAAATCAAGGTGATCGTCTTATCTTGAGCTAAATGTATTTTGATCTTTCAACCAGACTTATACTATCCAATCTAAATTTTGCATAGTTGTGTTCACTAACCTAGTTGTGCATGTAATCCTGATGTTCTCTTAAGGTGCCGTCGTTTCTGATACTGGTAGTTCCTGCAGAGATCTGTAGCATCCTCAAGCAAAAGAATGACAATCCGATTTGCAGATCTCAAGCGAAAAAGATATTGGTTTCCTTTGACGGTAAACTGATTTTCTTTAAATTTCTCATTCTAAAATACTGTTTCCTTGTCCTTGAAACTGAACCACCAAGTTAGTGGCAATCACTATTGTGCAGGTAGGAATTGGATTATTGGTCCTCCAGCAACTCAGTGGCATAAATGGCGTTTTATTCTATTCCAGCAATATCTTTGAAAGTGCTGGTCAGACGAAAGACTTCCACTTTGAACTATTATTTTATGGTTTATTGAAGGCTTACATCATTGATATATATATAATACGTGTGTGTGAGTGTGTGTGTTCTGTGTGTGTGTTTGTGAACTCCCTTGCTGGTAAGTTCCCCAATGAAACATATGGAATGTATGCTGGACAGAGACCTTCCTCTTCCAGTATATGCAAGAATTTCTCCATAACTTCTGCATTTTAATATTTTGTTCATTGATTATTGATTTGCCTAATCTCACTAGAAAAAATCTTGTTTAAAACGGACCATGTTAACATTTCTTGTGTCTTTGATCATTTTAGTGCCTTCTGTATCTACCACTTTGTTATAATTTGTCCATTTTCCTTTTCTTTTCCCTTCTGATAATTTTTTTTAACAGGAATTAAATCATCTAATGCTGCAACTTTTGGTCTTGGGGCGATTCAGGTAAACTAGCACATAGCACGTGTGATTGGAATTGGATATGGGGGTATTTGAATGTTGCAAAAGCACTGGTTGTATTCATCTTCTTATGAATATTAACCGAGAAGAACCT